GACTTAAAATATTAAAGAAGTCCACAAAATGCAGCGAATGTTAAAAAATTACACATTCAATCCACCAATCAATTTCTGTGTCTAAGTGTCAACGTGTAAAATCAACTGAGATTGATTATGGTAGTAGCTTATAGTTTTAAAATATTCAATTTCTGTATTTAATTTCAAAAGTGTCTCAATATCTAAATTATTATTGTGTCCTGCTTGAAAGTTTTATAATTTTTAATAACAATAAAAATACAAATAATTAATAAAAATGGTTGTTTATAAAATATAGTTAATCTTATCGAGACAAACTAATTTCTGCCAACTCCGAGAAAAGTATTCATAAAATCTAAAGAAAATGACAAAAAGCACACATAACAAACGTGAAAATTGATATTTTTTGACAAAACAAATAAATAATAATAGTCTTAATAAAAAAAATAAAATTGGTTATGTTCAGAGAATGACGCAAATTGATAACAGTGGTGTTATTTCCATTGAATAACGTGTTTCTGTGTCATAGTGAAAATGATAGAGTCGAAATAGTTGTAAAATATTATAACAATAAAACGAATTTATTATGTATCGCTTTTGCAGACAGCGATGCATCTGTAATTGATTATCAAGCAACCCGAATATAAAGAATAATTATAATAAAGTATACATTGTTATAGACAATAAAAAAGCTAAATTACGCATAACGTAAAACACAACAAAAATTAAAAATATATACCAAATAAATCAATAAAATAGCATTGATAGACAAAGAAGTTTGGTTTTTTGTTGTTTGGAAAATTAAAAATATAGTTGTGGTTTACCTTATTCATTTTAAACGCCCCTTTCAATAGATTATTAAAAATGTGCTATTATATACATCAAAATATCAAGAGTCAATAACAAACAATTGGTTAAACAGTCCATATATTTGAAAAGAAGTTAGACAACAATATAAAAATATGTGGATTATTTGTAGTAGAGGGAAATTGTTATTAAATTAATAATAGCTTTGACACTAAAAACTGTTTTTAATGATTGCTTGTTATATTTTAATTTCTTTTGATAAACACTCTCCAAGAGATTACTCACAATATGGTAAATACCAAAAGATGAAAAAAATATATTTTTAGAGAGACAAAACGGTCAAAAATCTTGCTACATCGTATTGTCTGAAAAAATACACAGTTAATATAATGGATTTTTTTGAAAATTTTTTATTTTTTATAAAGACTATTGTGTGTACATATATTTTATGTGTTTTTTAATTATCACTGATGTGTTCATGTATCTTTTGCAATTTGTATTTCATTTCAACTCAAAACCAATAGTTTTTTTTGTTTAGTGTATAAAAAACATATTTATTTGTTTTGGAATAAATGTTATTATATTTTACCAGTATTCTTATTTTGCCATTTTTTACTTTTTGTCATAAAATTATATTTTTTTCATTTTTTTCACATTTTATTTGTTTTTTAGTTTACGATTTGAACTCGTTATTCCATTTTCATTTTACTATAATTAAACTACACTGTATAATATAATTTTTTTCAAAAAAACAAAAACACTGCTCTTTTTAACAGTATTGGTTTGTTGGGGATTAGGTACGTCGGCGAGTTAACGTTCATAATAATTTTTTGAGACAGTTTTGTGTTTTATATTTTAAACAAAGACATTATTAGGTTTTGTTTCTTTCGGTTCTTTAAATGAGCTGTTTTGGATTATTAACTATTTTCGAAACAAAAAGAAGCTACCCCTTTTTAAGTTTTTGAATAGGTTTTATCTTCAGTTTTTGGTTGTGAAAAAAAATGGTGTCTGCATTCTGATAAAACCCAACCAAAATTCGGCAAAATAACCAAGTTGGTCATTCGGACCCTAGGTATAGTCATTGAATAATTTTAATGCCTTTTTTCTCGTTTTCACTTTATTAATTTTAATTTTAATTTTTTAACTATTAAATAAAAGAATTTTTTTAGAATCTTTTTAATTATGTCTGTTCAGTTTAATAAAATAAGCTATATTTTATTATAAACAAATATATATTATTATTATATTATTATTATATATTACTATATATTATTATTATTATTTTGATATTTAAATCATTTGATAATGATTCTTGAAAAACATTTTAATAATCAAAATTCGTTATTGTTAAATATATTGCTTTACAACGCCATATTATAGTTTTTGATTGTAATATTATGTTGTATCGATTGTACGATTAATCAATTTGTTTATAAACTTTTGGTTATACTTTTAATTATGTTTGCCAAATAATTAATTGCAAAAATCAAATTGCCAACATATGACACATCTTGCTGAGTTGTCCAATGACCAAGAAGTCTCAAATAGCCAGACACAATGTAGTCTGTGACAAAATCCACATGGTACTGCTGAAGAGGCTGAAGAGGATAGATGAGAACACCTCAATGACTGTGCCTCCCAAAGACATGTACGACGAAGGTGAAAAAAATGTGGTCATTGCCGAAAGAAATCTGCTCTGTGATGATAGGCAAAGCTTTGCTCGAAGACCCGACATTTATTGGCAAGACAATAAAGCAAAAAAGGGTTATGTGATTGATGTCACAATTGTAAAAGATGAAAACCTCGCCACTGCTTACTTCCGAAAAGTGTCAAAATATAACACGCTTTGCGAGAAGCTTCGAGGTGCAAGAAATCTGCGAAGTGTGACCACTGTTCCAGTGGTCATAACGATCAGCGGACTGATAAACAAGCTCTCTGTGGAAAGGATAGAGAAGCTGTTGAAGATCAGATTGGACTTACCTAAAATAATTAGGGATGTCACAATCTCTAGTATGAAAGACCTGATGACTTACTTGAGTCATGGGAGAGCTTCCTTTGAGCCAGGAAACTCACTGGATTGTTTTCCACATGACGTATCGGGAACAGAGAGTCCCGAAGGCGAAGAGATGGTTGAAGGAGAAGACTGCTCCGAGCCATGCAATCCAATAACAAATTTAATTGGAAACGCATAATTGAATTCTTGGGGTTTGTTTGCCAAATAATTAATTTATTTTCCCAAAGAACCAACACCAAGTGTTTTCAGTTTGTGACTAAAATAAAAATGTTACAAATTCAAAGCAACACAAATTGATTTCCATACTCAGGACGGTTTTCTGTGATTTTTGATCAAAATTTGCCTGAATTCAATACCTAATAACTGTGATAATTTAATTTGTTAATTTTTTCCATTGAATATTAATTTAGTAAAAACTTGAACCATTCTAGAAAATTTCAAAGAGCACAAAACTGTTTTTTATTAAGAACATAAAAATGTTGTTTCATCAACTAAGTATCACCATTCTAATCATGATTGTTTTTTGGAAAGACAAACAAAGGATTAATGTATATCCCATCCACACATATTCAAAACAGCAAAGTAAATATTATTCACGTTTCTATTAAAGTATGCCATAAATTGCAAAAGGGTTGTTTTTTCATCAAATCTATATTTATATTCACATGCATTAATCGGATTAAAAAAACTACCCATTTTTTAAACAAAATAATAATGATGAAAGTAAATTTTAAATCTTTTATTGAAACGTGCAACATCAAGAACCTTGCATTTGTATGAATTGATAAAAATGAAAATACAACACTTGTTAACTCAAGAAGGTCATTCCTTAAAATAATTAATAATTTTATTTGTAATTATCACAAAAATAACATAGATAATTGGTTTATTGTGGAACTGTTCAAAACAAAAAATGATATGATCAACAAACATGCAAATTATAAACTAAAACGTACATGCAATTTTCCAAAAAGTAAACATGTTATTTTTAAAATAGTATTGAAACTTTCTTAAATATACATTAATATAGAAATTACAAAAATGTTCAAATATTTGAAATGAACACAAAGTTGGTGTTACGCATTCAATCAAAAAGACTTAATATTAACAGACAAAAAATAGGATTAATAATTGTATAATTTAAAGTTATGGAAATTGTATTTTATGATTTTTTAAACAAATTAAACATAAAAAGATTATACTGAAAGTTGTTATTGTTATTCAATTACCCAACAACTTTTATTATTATTGGATGATTCAATTCCTTTGAACTTGTATGATATTATACTTTACAAACGTAATAACAAATATTTATTATTGGGTTTGGGTATTTATATAGAAAAAGATATGATATTGATCTTCACTTAAACTTTTTCTCAATTATTGTTTTTGGCTGAAACACATAATCTGTTGAAAGCACTATTTGTAGCAATTTGATGCCACCAAAATAAAAATGATAGCGAACGATTCAGTTACTACATTAATGTATAAAAATTGCAAATTAAAGAACGGCTTGAAATTTTAGGACAAAGTGCAGATGGGCGTAAATTAAACATACCAACAAAACTAACAAAAAAAGATTAAAAACAGCCATGTGCATTCTTTAGCAAGTCGCTACAAACACTGTGTTGATGGAGAGAGCTCAATTGTATCTTTTGTGTTTAAGAATTTGTTGTTCAACGCGTCTCCCACCGATCTCACTTCAACATCGCTCGCGACAAGAAGTTGATCTTTCTCGACCGACTCGATGTGGTCAAATCCTCCGCATGTAGAAATAGTGATTGAGTACCCAAAAGTTGGGAGTAAGTCTAAAATGTAGTTATTAGTTGTTGTAAGAAGTTGTTGAAGTGACGGCTCGGTCTCGTAGAGTGACGCGATAAATTTACGGAAATTGATTGTCTCGTCGTTGATATATATTTCGAGGATTTTTGGGACTGCGAGAGTTGACTGTAGTGGGTGTGTCACAATAAAACGTACACAACAGTGCTTTGCTAACAATGATATCAAATAAAACGTCTGACGCGATTCGTCGTCAATTGGTAGAGGGCTCTCCTTGTGACGTCCCTCTTCGGAGTCTGAAGATGAGTTGTCTGGTTGGACTACAGGGGTGTTCATCAAGAATAACAACAATCAATGAATTTTCTTAGTGAACACCAGAGTGTTTTTTTCTTTTTGTTATTTTTTATCAATTCTAGCCAGAAACCAAAAATTACAGTTCTCTCATTTTATTGTGTCCAAAAACAAGTTACACACTATTGAGCCTCAGCACGATTCAGAGCTCATCACGTCGCTGTCAAGTCCATTGAAATGTTTGGAAACGATCAGTACACGAATCTTCCCCTTGTCGACCAGAACACCAGCGTTTCTTTTCGACGGCTCGTTTAGACAATTGCTCTTCAGAAAAATCATGTGTTTGTGCTTTGACAAAAACTGCGAACATGACTTACCGCCTCGAATGATGAAATTGCACTTTGTGTTTCTTATCACCAAATCTTCGGGAAGAAATTCGGTTGGGTGCATCTCATCACCTTCTTCCACAATCTGGACAGGCGGTTCGTACGTTCTTTTTGATATTTTTTTCATTTCGGCAACCATGTCAGAGGAGAGAGCAACGTTGACTGGCAGCCCGATGTGAACACACAAAATTTTCCCATCAATAAGCGCTGCTAATCCGAAATTTGATATGCTCTGTGTGATCTTTGCGTACAACTTATCGTCTCCATACTCATCAACTATTTTCTTTTTGATTATTTCAAAACACGGTTTCATCTCATTTGGCAAATTATTGAGCGGATATTGTGGTGACAGGAGCACAAAGTTTTTGGAGCACAAAATTTTCATCGCTGCGATCATAGCAAAGACCTCAAGAGGGTGCGGTCCAAACGGGATGTAGTCTCCAACCAAAACAACGGCGCATGGACCAAATGTACCTGTTGGGACAATTTGCAGTGCCGACATAATCCTCGTAACATCGTCATAACTTCCACTCAAATCTCCGATCACGAACGCTGGTGGTGAGATTGGAACGATCATCGGCTCAGTGTTGAGAACCTCATTCAAACAGTCGATGAGTTGTGTGAATAGTTCAATTGGAATTTGCCCGATTTTCCATCTGTGTGTGGGGCCACCCTCTTTTGGGTCTTCGATTCTGATGAAGTCTTTTCTGAGTATTCTGATCACTCGATTCGCCACCAACATCCTTGCTTCTTCCTTTTCGAACACTGGATCGTCGTTGTTGTTTGATGGAAAGACTTCGCGTTGATACATCAAGCCTCTACTCATCTCATAAAATTTGCTGTTAAATGTGTAAGTTGGATTGTGTTGTTCAGTGTATTTTGGAGTCAATTGTTTGAGTGTTTCCATGTGTGGGACGATCTTGACAACTTTGTGCTTATTCATCTCGCAAATGAAGAACGGGTTGACGACTACGCTCTTCTCGTCACTGAGTGGTATCTCGATTAGTTCTACCACATTTTCGCTCTTCAGCTCTTCTGGGAATTCATTCCCCAACTTTTCAAACCACTTTTTCACAGCACTCACCGAAATGTTGAACCTTTTAAGGTAGAAATCGTTCTCTGCCATCTTTACTTTTCCATTTTTTTTGCCGTTTAAATGTTGTTTCTTTCCGTTCTTCTCAATCTTTGTTCAATCAAAATTTAATAATTTTAAAAAGTATTTATTTTTTAAAGTTATTAATACCTCAATTGTTCTGATTTTCTTCGTTTTATCAAAATTTTTTTCGATTTATAATTCTGTTATATTTGATAAACTATTATGTGTAGTTTCTTCTTAGTATCATTCTAGTTATCAAAAAAAGTAAAACAAGCGTTTTACTATTTTTGTGAGTAAAGGATATTTTACTTCTAAAAACATTTCTTATCCTATTTTTATTTTTTTGTTTTTCAAATAAACACAATCTTATTATATCATTGATAAACTATATAACAAATGAGAACATAACTATTAGAAAACTAAACACCAAAAAGAAAAGCTCAATAATTCAATCCATTCATGTAAAACTAATTTATTCGTGTTTTGTTCATATAGTTAAATACATATAAAAACAACTATAAAAATACTATAAATATACCATACCCATCCCTTTCATTTGAACATTAAACTCCAATTCAGACATGTCGAAACAGCAAATTCCCCATCTCAAAGTCTCAAAAAACTCGCCATCACTTTCTTTAGACAAACGTCTGCTCTCAAAATTCTCCACAGTATCCGCCTTATCTACGCCACGCTCTCTTAACACAGTCACTTCACTTTCTTCTCCACACGAAGACTCAAAGCAAAAAATTTCTCGCAGGTCTTTCACTTCACCCAAAAGTCCACGCTCTTCTTTCTCAAGATCTTCCGGTCAAATCACTCCCAGAATGATTATTAAGGAACAACCAAACGAATTTTTAAGAAAGGAAACACCACTCTTCTCTCAAGGCGCTTGGAAGGATGTTTGTTGTCATTATTATTGTTAATTATAGTATATTTATCATAATTATAATAAACATAATAAATATACTATACTATATTATATTATATTATACTATATTATACTACATTATACTATATTATACTATATTATACCAGAATCAATACAGTAAATTAATTCTAATAATATTAATTATTAAAAAACTAGATGTTGTTATCATTCAATCCCGAAATCACCGCTGCTGTAATCCAATACATCCAAAGACAAGAAGTGACAGCTGAAGAGAGAGAGTTGAATGCCGTGATGCTCTTGGTGTTTTATAACGAGAATGATAAACTTGCAGAGATCTTGAAATTTTGTGTAGAGCGGGATGTTATACTGAAACTTGACAACGCTGTGTTCTCGCCATACATGTCAGTCTACAAATTTCTGATTGGGTTCACACAGAAGAATTACTACGCACAGTTCTCATCGTTCTACATGAAGAAAGCGTCAAAGATCAAAGACGTTGGTTTAGACACCACACAGACATCGAAGAGTGAGAAGAAGATGAAAGCTTATAAGTCGATAATAGAGGATGTCGTCTCTATCTTGACGAATGGAGTTATAGTCCCCGTATATGTGAAATACTGTTGGAATGTCCTCTATCAAACTATGATGAAAATAGAGCGACACACTATGATGAAATATATGATGGTCTATGTCTTCGCACTCCCTTTCAACGACTTTATTGAGACCGCTATGAAAAATGCAGCTCAGACTCAATTGGTCGTGTTATTAAACGTTTCTAAATTCTTTCATGAAGTCACCTCTCCCTCTAAAGATACAGCAAACGAATATTGGAAATCCTGGATAGCTTCAAATTGTAATGATCTTACTGAAATCCTACGAAATTACATATTAAAGAATTCCGTTTGTTGTTATATTAGTAATATTTATAATAATATTTATAATAATATATATAATAATAATAACAAACAGACATTCAATGGAATTGAGGAGGAACTAAGCATCGAACTGCCAACAGACTTAGCTGTACCATTAAACAAATTTTTAGTCGACGAGTGTTCGAGTGTAATGAAGTACATGAGTGATGATGTGTCTGAGTTGTTTTTGAATCAAAAGCGGCAATCCGAGGACATTCGTACACGATCTATTAGTTTATTGAACCAAATCAAACAGTTATATATTAACTCCTTAATTGAAAAACAGAACTTCTTGGCAAACATGTCTGTGATGACTCAAAAAATTAAGTTTCTTAATGAGGAGAGAAGATATTTAAGGCAACTTCTCTTCCCTGATGATGAAGAACCTTATGTCCCTGATTCTATCGACCAATTACACGAAAACTAATACTTTACTATTTCTTTTCTATATCATTTATGTGCTTGTTATATTTTTTTGGTCATTATTATATCATAATATACTATAATATACTATAATATACTATAATATACTATAATATACTATAATATACTATAATATACTATAATATACTATAATATACTATAATATACTATAATATACCAAGAAGTATTATAATACTCGTTTTATTCTTTAAAACTCAAAACAGTTCACAATATTGAGTACTTTTAGTCTTTCAATTGAACTAATTGCAAATTTTGATTTACAAGAACGATTACACAAAACATATGTTAATACTGTTCAACAACTTCGCCATATACATTGAGTCGCTTAGTTAAGGCCAAAGGGACTGTTTTGTAGACTCTTTCTAAATTAGCGACCACAGCTAATTCATCAAGAAGAATAGCTGGGCCCAATAAGAACAAGGGCATTGCGTCTGATTTATCGACATTGAAGAGGGCAATTGTTCCAAAGAAGACGAAGAGGAAGACGTCGCGGGACATTGCGAGAATAGCGACTTTAATAGAAGTCATCAAGTACATGATGTCGTGGAAGAGTAACGCCGTCACGATAGCAAAATGTGTGAAACAGAAGAGAAAGGCGTCGTTTTTGACGAAGCACAAATAGGTGTCGGTGTAGAAGAGTGGGAAGAGAAAGACAAAGAAGACCATTGATAACGATTTTGCTATTTCAATGATCTTCAAAGCCTCCCAAATGAATGACAGCCACACTACAAAGAGTAGAATTATATCAGTCACAGCACTCTTCACACTTTCATATGGAAATTGATATGAATCGACTAGCATTAATAAAAGAACTAATAAGGAAATAAAATAGTAAAAGACCTTAGTCACTATAATTTCCATAGAAAAGTCGACGCGGATGTGCTGCGATGAACACATGTCCAAAATCGTGATGGAACAACATACAAAGACTATGAAGAGTTGAAAGAAGTAATGTTGCTCGGTGGTTGTGGGGACCTTGGAATAGATATCACCCATATATGGATTCGTCCTGGGATCACTCGGAAAAAAGCGCGAAAATTGGTCGCGAAATGAATAATAAAAAATCACCTCAGCGCGTTGGGTAAAGGAGTGGCACAGTTGCTCGGCTATTGTGCCATTCATCATTATATATATTTGTAGTTTATTTATTAGTATTAAATAGTAATAGTAATATTACCATAGATCCCGATTTGACAGCCAAATAACATGTGACACATCAAAAAGTAAAAGAAACTATACCAAATACTATAATATAGTACATTTACTAATAAGTGAGAAGAACTGAATTTGAGTGAAATGGAAGTTGAAGGCGAAAAACAAGAAGCTGAATACGTGTTGGGTGAAGCTCCAAAGAAAATCGAGTACTATGGAATTCGTCCACCTGAGGTGTGTGCTGGGTTGAATGTGGAGAGATGTGATGAAGACAAGAAGCCGCTGACAGCTAAGAATCTACGAGTCGCACGACTTGGGAATGGAGAGGAAGAAGACGCATTGCAACGGATTTCTCAGTGGCTTGGCGCACAGGAGACGCACTGACTTCAATTGATTGGTATTTGTTTGTTTTCTTAAGAAATGATATTAAAACGTACGAAGTGGTCAATTAAGACAAAGACCGCATTGGAACCAATTTGGAAGAGAGAGTTCCACGCAATGACATTTGTGTTGTGTGTCGAGTTTGGGATGATTGCGGAAGACGCGGCTGCTACACTGCGAAGTGCGAATTTGTGAGGGAGTGAGGTGGTAAGAGGGGATGGCAGTGTTGCAAGTGACGCGTTGAAGAGAAAGTCTTGGATGAATGTTGTTGTTGTGAAGAGAAGTGTTGTGCCAAGTGGCGCAGAAACCCACCGCTCGATGGTCCGTTTGTTGGTGTCGAAGAGAGCGCCGATATAGCCATAGATGATACCACCAACCACACACGATGGGATGTTTGCAGTCGACACCACAAGAACATCGCCAGGAAGTCTGAGTGGATTGTGTGTTGTGTTGTATTTTGTGAACAAGTTGATGTGCAGCG